AGCACAGCCCTCTGGGGTATTGGCCACTTCTCCCAGCTTTGTGTCATCAGTGAACTTGCTGAGGAGGCATCTGTCCCCTCATCCAAGTCATAAATGAGTAAGTTAAACAGTACAGCATTGAACCTTGAGGGACACCCTTACTGACAGGCCTCCAACCAGACCCTGTGCCACTGATTTCTACCGTCTGGGATCTGCTGTTCAGCCTGTTCTCAATCCACTCATTCAGCCTACACTTCTTGAATTTGCCTACGAGGATGTTGTGAGAGACAGTGTTGAAAGTCTTGCTGAAGTTGAGGCAGACAATATCCAGTACTCTTCCCTCATCCATCCAGGTAGTTTTTTCATTGTGGAAGATAATCAGGTCGGTCCTTTAGTGAATCTGTGCATACATATCCATATGCACTGAAAAACCTTGTTGCAAGGATACATACAGCTCAGGGCCACATTTAGTACCGGAGGTTTTTCATGAAGAAGCCAGTTTGTAGGAGTTCAAAGGACTCCAGTGTAATCATGACAGGTGAGTACAGTTATGTGGGTCTACCTTTCCCAGCCGGTGGATAAGTGCAGCTATGAGGACAAAGGACCCTGGGAAGAATGCTCATACAGCCATCATGTGTTTAAGTATCACAGTCTGTCACAATCAGACTCCCTTGGCACAGTGTGATTACCAAACAGCAGTAACAGTCAGAGACCCCAGAGCACAGACTATTTCCTGAACCACTGACATGAATTTTGCCTAACTGTGAATAGAACAGACATGACTAGGTCTGAAACACAACAGCTTAAAAAAGATTTTCTAAAACTACATATGTGGAAAGCCAGCAGCTCAGGCACACAGACAAGTGATTACCAGACTCAGCTATACCTGTCAGATCTGTGCCACAGAACAAGTGCTGCATGTGATGTGCTCCCTGCTGAATCTGAGAGGCCTTACAGTGAAGGACATTAAAAAACCTGCATCAAATGACATTAATTCACTGCTACTACACGTTTGCGTTCAAAGGCATCATGGTGGTGCAAACATGGCATCATAGTGGTGCAGCACCACTGCCGCTTTTTACTCTGATAGCCAAAGACTGGAAAGCCTCTGCAACAAACCTTCATACGCCTATCTCTCAGAAACCTTTGTGATCATCTTCTTTAGCATAGTGGCAGCCAGCCCTCTTTTGCAGCCCCTCACCAGGTGAAGAAGGTGCTTTGAAGACATACTAATATTTACTCTCAAGGAGAGAGGGGACAGCATAGTCTTCAAACAGTGCCCCTCCTCTCTTCCTGAAGCAGCACTGAAGAATTGTTATATCCTTCTCAAAGTCAATGGAAAGCCAGACAGTCCCCAAAGTTAAAGATGTGCTTATAGGGCTGGATTGAAAATTAAGCTTAGATGACTTTCTGAATCAAAGCCAGGAACAACTTCTCCAGTTCACCCCTTTTGCTTGAGACTTCTTACAGTGGCAGATAGATTGTGGTTTTCATTATATCCTTGGTTTTAACGTGAAATTTAACACATCCTAAGTTACATCACTCTGAGTGGCAACCCCACAATATTTTTCAAGAAGAATGAAAAATCCTAATCTCTGTGGGACCATACTAGTCCACGGCCAACAGCCCCGGGAATAGCACATAACACCCTGTCAGACATAGGTAAGACAAACTGTTTCACATTACAGAAAACACGGCACATTTTAATCTTTCCCTAAAAGCAGCCAAATGAGCAACATTCATTTGGAGGAATTAATGTAACTAATTATATTCAAACACCAACACAATCCATCTGCAATTCTTACCCCAATTTGCTAGCTAACAGGTAGTGAGTCTAAGCAAGCACAGGCTCTTGCAGAGCAAAACCAATGAATTTTCTGAATATTCTCATGGTATGCAATTTTAAACCTAAAGATGAAGCAGAGACTTTCTTTAGTAAGATCTTTCTGCCAAACTCTCTGAACACATCTGCCTTTAAAGCAGACTTGAACAAAATATTTTATATATATTGATCAAGTGACACCAACAGGCTCAGTAAAATCTTCTAGCTCTGTTTTTAGGAGTTGAGAATAAAGAAAGTTACATTTTGGAGGAAAGGAGAGTAGCAAACCATGGCTACTGATGTTCAAATGACAAAAATATCTGAGAGAATTCCAGATGTCAGCCATGTGTTATGGTTTAATAGTTCAGCTGTGAGTCACAGGCACAAAAATCTGTTATGAAACACATGCCTGCCTGCCTGTGTGTGTACACACACCAGTGTGGACTACTTAAAACAGAAAAGTTGTAATTTTGAGGTCTTTAATAACCCTGGAGAAAAGCAGTTAATCTGTGCTGAGGTGGAAGAAAATTAGCACAGTTTGTAGTATGCCATGCATGAAGGGTGCAATGATTTAGTTGCAACGTTTACAAACTGAAGTTAGAACTAAAGAGAGGTTAAACACGCATTTGACAACATGTGTAATCCTTTCAAATCCTAAAAGTCCAATCACACACTGTGTCTTGAATAATCACTAGCCTAAATCACACACACCCCTGCCACATGAAACTCAAGTCCAAGTAATTTCTAGCCCAGCTCTTTCACACTGTAATATTTATACTGTAATTTATTAGGTGCTTTTAGCATTGTTTTTCTTCTCACATAAAAGGAATTAATATCTGTGACATCAATGTTTAGCAAGAGATATCACATGCCCCATCTCCTTTCTGGTGGAGAAAGACAATCGTTTATTGCTCTGTGTGCAGTTGGTGTCCATGAGTAGGCACCCATTGCTGATTGATTTCAGCTATCTCTGGTTTTGAGTGGTCAGTCTGCAGGGGAGCTGGCAAGCAAGACATTCCCTCTCGGCTGTCCTCCACTCCAAGGTGGACCTGACCAAAATAGAGACCTGTATGCGAGGAGAATAATGTACTTGGCTTATCAATTTTTCACTCCTAGAACCAGTGTTGCCTGTGCCATGCTCCCACACACTGACATCAGCCTGCTCTCTCCCTCCCTGCCTCTCTCCATCTGGGTGGCTTTTCCAGGGGCACAGCAAGTCAGGAGCTTTGGAATCTGGACTGATTGGTCTCAGGGAATTTGCACAGCAGTGAAATCCATAAGGAGCTATGGGCACTTTGCCATCCCCAAGAATTACACCCCTGAACATCCACAGACATTTGCATATTGCATGTTTCTTGGCTGATTGCGAATGCCCATTTTTATTTGGACATGCTCATGGTAAGTCTGTGGACCCACAGAGCCATGTGAGTGTGCATGCAAACCTCAGCCAAACAGGCCAGCGTATCAAGGGCACATCCATGTGGAGTGTAGTAACTACATGATAGGCATGCACAGACAGACACATATTCTTATGAAAATTATACCTCTAAAGATACGTTTAAATAACACATATTGGAGGATTTTAATGACTCCGTGAAAGGACAGGTGGGATAGGTGCAATAAAGTGGCTCAAGCAAAATCACTCAAAAGTTAAGTTCATGCCAGAGAGTGGAAGGATGAGGAGCAAACTTCAGCTGTGGGACAAACAGCAAGGTGCTCCTCAGCAGTGGAGCTGGTTGAAGGCTGTCTGCTCTTTGGGGCCTCCAGGACACACTTATCAGCTGCTGAAGGGTCGTCATCAGATTCAAGGAACTGAAAATATGTTGATGCTGTCTCTGTTCTGGTCTGGAAAAGCCAGAGGCAGATGGTGCTTGCTAAGCACCTGTGTGCCAACAGTGTACCAGAGGTTTTGGTCTGCCTCGGGAGTGCCTGCAAAGAGAACAACCCTCTTCTTGGGAACTCACGAGAGCATTTTATATTTCCCCCAAAGCTCCCTACACTGTAAAGCACAGGTTTGGAGGCAGGGAAGGAAGGATGTTAAACCGTACTGGAAAAAAAAAACCCACCAAACAATCGTCAAACACTCTTATGCTCTGGTCTTTGCAAATTAAGATTTCACATGGGAATTTGGACAGGTGCAGTGTTACCAGATCTGGCAATGGCAGCCCCCTGCCTACGTAGCTGAGTCTTATTTATCTAGCTGTGGTTTCAACTTAGCTGAGTCCCACAGCGGTGAGGATTTCAGATGCAGTGTGGCTGAGAAGCAGCAGCCGGCTTTCTGCCCTGACAGGCATGGGGAGCAGCTGGACTAAAGCACTGGGCACTTGCTTTGGAGGGAAACCTTTGCCAACTGGCTCCCTGTGTGGTGACAGACTCAGGGCAGGCATGCATTGCCAGTAACACCTCGTCACAGAGATACCACTTATCTCCTGTGTGCAAATGGAGAACATCGGCTTCTTGTGGCAATTGTGGCACAGCCCTAAACAGCTTGCAACACAAGCAGAGAGCAAGGGCTGTTCGTGATATCCTCCTTTGAAGCATTACAAATATTGCATATAAAACCAGCCCCAATTTTGACAACTCTTGTAGAAAATCCCCAGATAAATGCATCTCCCTGAGTTGCTGCTATTTATGGGGGCTGGAGTGCAAAAGCATACCCCAACAAGGGCAGGAGTTTGGCTCTGTGGGCGTGACTTGATAAAAAGTTATGCCATGAGGTTTGCAGAGATATATAAGAGAACAACAGCATTTACATGATTTTTTTGTCTGCATTGAGACTCAATGAGAAACAGGGCTGATGGAGGCAAAGTGGAGCAGGAACAAGCAGGTGCTGCAGTGGGAGATGGCAGTGCATGGAAACAGACACAACTAGATTTTAAAAAAAATAGACTAGAAAGGACAGAAATGGTACAGGAGAGGGTCATCACAACTCAACAAAGGCAATCTGCTGCTTCAGAGGACTGAGGTTTGCAGACTGGGGCCACAGGTAAAGGCCTGTAGGTGTCAAAGGGCCACTCCGCATGTGCTTGGGGCAATGGGGCATTGGAGGTTTCCTTAGCCAGGGCAAAATAAGCTCTCCAGAGAGGTGAGACTAGGTGCCTACCCCACCAGCTGCCCCGGTGTGGGGCAGAGCCGCTCTGTGCTTACCTGCATCCTCTGGCAGCAATTTTTGCAAGAGGCCTTTTGATGATGCAGTCTATCAAAATGTGCATCGTGCTCCAGCTGTTGCTGTTGGAGTTTGCTTTTTTCTGAATGATGATTTTTCATAAAAGCCTATCCACTTCAGAAATATTGTCACAGAAATAAAATAGCAGTAGCATTACTTGTTTCCTGGGGGCTGCTACCAAAGCCATGTTAGAATAGCTCCATCTCGTGGAAATCAGCAGCAGCAGTGGGGGCAAACGACGACTATCTGGGAGAAAACCTGTAGGAAAATACTGGCAACTTTCTCCCTGAATGCATGTGCCAGCAGTGGCTTTAGTTCCCATCCACAGCAGTTTTGCTTGTCCCATCTCTCCCAGAGGTTCAGCCCGAGCTGCAGGTTTGAAAAAAACTGTAAAATATCTACGTGCAAAGCCAGCATAACTAGTACATTTAATCAGATTTTTTACATATAACCGTAGTATTTACACAGCTCCTGTATGGTCATGTTCAGAGGTCAGGTAAAGTTTAGGGCCGTGTGGTGGCTTCAAGCTCTGTCACACAGAGCTCCGCTTTGGACTATGTCTCAGAGGGACCCCCTCTCCCACCATCACTCCCTGCCTTTACTGATTAATTTACAGCTGCATCTGCACCTCACTCAGCACTTTTTTCTTGTCTCTGTCGTCTGGTTTCCCTTTGTCTGTACCTGTGTGCATGTACTTGTAAATCAGGGGGAACAGTTGTACTGCAGAGTTCAAATGCGTTTCTGTCTTTAAAGACTTTCCAGTTTAGATAAGAAATTCATGAGGTTATGTTTTAAAAAAATAATTACTCCCTCTTTCCTAATGTGTGGTCAGATTTATTCTCCTGTTTATCCAGACTCTTAGTTTTACTCTCTGATAACAAAGTTTATTTAAAACTTTCTGTTTAAAGTCTGTTTAATCCATGTCCTGGGGAACAAGAAGTGAATTTCAGCATGAAGTACGTGTCCTTTTGGTTTTGCACTGTTGCCACCACTTAGAATTATCTAAGTGATGACAAAATCTTTCAGGCTTAAGAGGTCTGACAAACATCCCATAAACTACACAAGACATCAACAGGTCGCCAACGTAGATCACTGAACATAGATGCAACAAACTTCTCAGGAGAAAGAGCACTCATCTGCAAGGTGCACAAACATTTAAATAATGTGAAGAAGATGGATTACTCTGAGGAGAACTCTGCACTGCCTTGCCATGCTCAGGGTATCCCAGAGTGCCTTAGCAAACAGTGCCCACTCAGCACATGGGAGTGGGAGCTGAAACAGCAGAAAAGCACAGCAGTGTGCACTCCAGGGATCCCATACAGCTTGCAGCAGTGAGATCCAGACTGACAGCAGTTTTGAAATAGGACCTCGACAAGAAAGGCCATGGAAAATGCTGTTAACTGAAAATCTAGACACAGTCATGGTTGAAGGAAGGCTCCTGGAAGTAAATGGCAGCAGGCAACTCACTAAATCTGTTACAAACTCCAGCTCTTTGTCCTTCCCTCTGTCCTCTTCTCTCTAAGAACCTCCCCAAGATCCTGCTCACTCCACAATGGTGGGTGTGACTTCTGAAAGATTGGGTCCAATAGGAAGGCACAGATTGCTGTTGGTGCTGCTTAGGTAGCTGTAAGAAGGAACAAGAGGTAAAACTAAATAAAAGGATAATACAGGAGACAAATTTTGGAAATCTCATCAGGATCACAGGAATTTTACTTTCTGCTATTGTTCACCCCACCATTCTCCTCTGAAGAGTTATTTTTTCCACTCGTGTGTAAAAAAGATTATTTGTATAGTACTATTGCCCACACCCAGTTTGTTCCATTTAATCAGGCCAGGCAAACCCTGTCCAGGGCAGGCTTACCACTCACAAATAGCAGCACATTGAAAGACACTGCTATTTCTATCACACTAACACAGCATCAGGAACTGCCTCTTTTCTCATTAAAATGGAGTGCCAGTGCCCAACCCCTTGTGTTTCTTTAAGATCCACTCTTCTACAACCTAAGGAAAATATACATCCCATGGTGCCTTGCAGATTGAGAGAAACACATGTCTGCCCCAAGCAGTGCAGCTCGGATCAACATGGCAGCATGACAAACTACAATGCACATACGTGCTGGGAACACTTCTTTACACGTGGTTTCATCTCCACAAGCTTCAGGTGACAGCTCTGATCAGCAGCTGCCAGAGTCAAACAGGCAGAGAAGCAATGGAGCAGAGGGGACAGGGCCTGCAGTGTCAACAGCCCACAGATACCATGGAGGATGTTAGGCAGGGGAAAGGGTCAATTGTTCTCAACAGTCAACATCAAAATAAGCAATGAGTTAAATTAGAGCAAGGAAGCACCAAGAGGAAAAAGCCTGTAACTGACGGCAAGAGTAATTAGGCAACAGGCCCCAATGCCAGAGGAAGAGCTGACTATCAGCCAACACCATCCTAGCAAGACTTTGTCATCATCACTTGTGGGAGGATGGAGGCCAGTTGCTGCTCCCTTCCTTTTGTGCTACAGAGATTAGCCATCCCAGGCCTTCCCTGCTATGGTGGTGATGGTTCAGCTGCTTCCAGCCACCCCAGGAGAGCACAGAGAGAATTTTGCTGCGAAAAACAAGGGAAGGCTATGGCTTGCTTCTGGCTTTCGTTTGAAGGCAATTGATATTTTCAAGGGATGGCAATATGCAAAGAACTAACACCAAGATAAGCTGCAGTGTGAAGCTCTGTTGTGCTTTCTTTCCTGGCAATGAAACCTTGCCAAAGACTGAGCTGCTAAGTGAAACACTTTTAAAAGACTAATGACCAACTGCAGACAGTTTCTGGCAACAGTGTAGAACATTTGCCCAGCAATCTTTCAGGGGGCTGAAGCGTAAACCAGCCTGTCTCTGACCTGAATCTGACAAACTCAGCAAGTCTAAACATTTCGTGAATTCTTCTCCTTGCACAAGAGTTTTGGAAAGAGAGACTAGGTATTTGGTGTATATATTAAAAAAAAAAAAAAAACAAAACAAACAAACAAACAAACAAAAAAAAAAAACAAAAAAAAAAAAAAAAAAAAAAAAAAAAAAAAAAAAAAAAAAAAAAAAAAAAAACAAACACCAACAAGAAAGCAGACATTAGAACAGACAGAATTTCTGGAGAAAGTATCTGATGGAAGAAAGGACCGGTGGCCCCAGGTTGTTGGACTCGGCTGAGTCCAGTCAGCAAAGGGGGCATGGCCCCACTGTGGAATAGCTCTGCATGCATGGGACTACTGTTTTCAGATCCACATTTCTAGTTTGGCTGAGTTACAAGAATTTACCATTTCAAAGCCATCTGATAGAAACAGCTCATTAGTAGCACCCAACCTCAGTCTCAACTCCCAGCAGCCACATAAAAAACTCAGAATTTTAGCAGAGAGGTTGGTTTGTTTTCTCATCAGTTAATCAAATCAGTCAATGATTCATGCTTGGCAAGAAAGGCAAGATCACTGCAAGCATAGGAACTTCAGAGCCCCATCTCTGAAGCATGGTGAGGACAAAGGAACAAATGTTATGCTGTGGCAAAACATATTTAGAGCATTGACATACTCCCTACCGGAACAGTATGCATTTTACCTCGTTACATCCCGTGTCATAACCAGCAGTTACCTGCTAGCTGCAAGGATGCTCATCAGGCAAAGACCATCAGTGTGAAAGACAAGAATTTATTGATATGAATGGGGGAGAAATAGGAGGGAAACTTGAGAAGTTAATTGATGCAATCAAAACTCTGTTGAAATAACACTTCAAGTACCTGTTGAAGTATCACTTCAAGGCATCTGGCTGAGCACGACCTATTTTTTTTTCCTTATCATGGTAGTTTTGGGGTTCTCCAATTATTCTCACTCATTCTGACCAGAAATGCCTGCTCCTGCATTTCAGCAGGTGGAGGAGAAGAGGTGGCACTCACCTGCCTATACAGTCTCACCAGCAGCCACCCTGTACCAAAGGGTCATGGAAACCCCCTCTCAGCCAGTACGAGGCTGGGACACTTTAAACACACTGTGGATGTAGCTATGGCTCCTCACCAGCATTTCTTACTTAAAAGCAGCATAGAGGTTTCTCTCCTCTCTTCCTGGAGCTCTACACACAACAATTCATGTCGCTTAGCAACAGGGCTTCCTTTTAAGATGCTCTTTTGTCATTTCAAAGCCTCCATGCCAGAAGTTCTTTAGATAATCTGAACTCACACAAGCTCCATCAGTTTGGCTCTTTTCCTTTACCTCTGCCTGGTCTCCTCCCATTGTAAGGTTAATATCTGTGTCCAGCTGAAGAAAACCAAATCAAACAATAATGCAACTCCGAGTGATCAGTCCAGCTTCACTGTGCAAGGGCTAATTAGAACTTCCTTTTGCCTAAAGCCATGCCAAGCAATGACCAACAGAGACCATCTGAGGAAAGGAGAAGCTCACAGGGGTTTTAATTTTGATTTTTTGCTTACTATTCAAGTCAGACTTCATAAAACTACGAGATTTCTCTATTGTCCATTTGGGATTTAAGACTTGTGCAGCCCGGTTTGACAGATTCTGTACTGTTTGGAGAGAATAATAATGGCTTGTTATTAATGATTGTGAACTGTATTTTATCTTGGCTTTACAGTACTTATACAGTACTATAAAGTGCTAGCTCCCATGGGGAGCGAGAACACCAGGTCTTTTGCTTGTTTAGGCGGGAACAGAGGCTGAATTTTTGAGACAGGGAAAAAGTCTCACAGCTGTTTCACAGACTAACAGAGAGCTGCCCCACTGAAGTCCTCAAAATATTTTATGAATTTTTTAAAAATCATAATCTACTTAAGCAGCATAACGCAACAGCAGTAGCTACACAGAAACAGTGTCTGCAGGGAGAGTATAGGAGATGTTTTCCCTTTGAAGATGAAACATGGATGAACAAGACATCAGTAATGAATCAGTTGCTAATTCCTGTGAGCAATTTCCTTCCTATATAGTGCCTTTATCCTGGCTATTTTCAGTCTGCATTTGGTAGGACTTCACATAGCTTCACATGCGTCAGCCATGGTCAACTCAGCTTCCTGGCTGGCAGACAGGACTCAGGATGCAGGCACAGGGGCCACTAAGCCCGTGTGTTCCCTGGTCTCTAGCAAGCTGCAGTCATCACGTGAAAGTCTGTTCATCCTGTCTGCTTACAAATTAGCACTGATACCCCCTCTGAAGCCAGGAGTTCCAGGGCATGGCACAGGAGTAGTGCCATGGGTAAGTACCTGCATATCAATCTTTTTGAAAGTTACCTCAAATAAAATCCACAAGAGAACAATCCATCCGTAGTGAGGCAGCCAGAGGAGTTCTCACTCTATTCGTTTGGAATATTTCTTTGCGCAGTGCTCACATCATGCCCCTGGTCACACCGTCCCTTCTTTTTCAAAGGACATCTAGGTCACTACCTGTGCAAGTGGTTTGCTCAAGTCATGGAAATTTCAGACTGAAGCTGTGACATGTCCTCAGCACTAACCTCAACCATCAGTGTCAGAGAACAGAAGCTGGTGGCTTGGTCAAGGAGTTGTGGCAAAGCAGAGGAAGAGGAACACCTGGGGCAGGGGGATCCTTCAGCCTGGTCTCTGGCTGTCCAAAAGATCCATCAGTCACATTGGTACCCAGCTGGGAGAGCATCACAAGTGCAGTCCTGCAGCTGCTGTCCCACTTTTGTCCCCAGCACCCCTAAGGGCAAACAAAGGGACATTGCTCATGTACACAGAGAGCATGGGCTGGAGAGCATATCTGACTGCTATCTCCTGCCCTTCTTTAGGATTTCAGAAAGATCAACTGCTGCAGCATGAAGCAGTGGGCTTTCACATGAAGTCTGGTAAAGTCTGACACGTTTTGCAGAAGCCATTTCTTCCTGACAGTGATTTATGCTCTTGCTGCATCACCTTGTTTTAGGCTTCTTAGAGTGCAGCCTGAGCCTGCAACACCTGCTGCACAGGCAGCAGAGCCCATGCAGGTTTTCCTGTTCGGAGATGTGTGTTTGTGGCAGGGCAGGTGGTCCTGGTCCTCCCCAGCTGCCATGTTTTGTCTTCTTGGGGTATCACACAGGCACAGTGGGGGAGCTGTCACAGCACAAATCACACTGGGATTCAAGGCAGATCCTGGTCTGGGTACTTAACATGTAGCATTTAAAGCAAGCATCTGGATTCCTATCTCTTGTTCACGGTACCAAATAAAAGAGCAAACAAGGAAAATCTTGAAATCCATACTTGAAGGAAATGGCTGAAAACTATTTTAATCCTTTGATCCTGCATAGGATTTATAGATATTTTGGAAGCCTTGATGTACTGGGTTGGTAATCTCTTTTTCTTCAGAGCTATGAAAGACCCAGAGATTGACATGATTTAAATGTTAAATATGAAAGAATGAAGATCTCATAGGGATTCTGAGGGTATAAAGTCTTTTTAATACAGATACACAACTCACTGCACATTTTTTTACGTCTTAGATTGATTCCCACTTACTTCTACAGTCATTACACAATTTTTCCAAGGCAACCAAGGAAGAGGAGCAATTTTCCAGGTTCATCCCACCTGCAGCACTCCTTTTTGAAGGAGTGGTACTCAGTGGTCTGACCAGGAAACCTGGGCTGGGCCAGGCCAGGCACAAGGTCAGCCAGGTAGATTTGACATCAAACATGATTTCTCCTCAACCCAGCCAACCATCCTCTTACCCAGATGGAGAGGCTCCTGTGTCTCACCTCCTCCCATCTGGAAATGGGACCCACCTTTCTGTGTCTGGGGTGGGAACTGGCACCCTGTGAATTCAGCATCATGCCAACAGCCCAGGTGATGCCCAGGTCTGTGCAACTTGGCTGGGCTGAGGAGCACACCAGCACTTCATTGTCAGGGTCCCTCTGGGACTAACACTACATCCCTGGTGGGGTTTTGGTGGGGGAAGGTCCACCGCCCATGGGCAGACACAGTGAGTGACTCACTGCATTTTGGTAAGCCTTGTGAGCTGTGTCTAGCTCAAGCCTGTCTAGCTCAAGAAATCAGCTTAAAATGGAGAACCCCTGTGGGATGTACCACCCTCTCCAGGGGACTTTCTAACTGCAAGGGAGACTCACTGTGGGGTGCCACAGCACTGGAGGTGCAGTGCAGAGGGAGTAATGTGCTCAGCCCTCAGCAGCATGCAGCATCTCACGAGCACTTAGAGATGAGCACAGTCACACTGGAGGCAATTATTACTGCTGCTGTTTGCATGCTCCTAAATTCACCATCTTCAGAGTGGGAAGAGTTTCAGCCAAGCACAGAGGAGGCAAAATTAAGAGCAGCAAATTCCTCATGAGGGGACTCTCCCAGCAACCCCTGTGGTCTGACAGCCCCCTGAATGCAGTGATGGAGGAAGAATCCACCCAGCACCTGGGAACAGCAAACACCAGCAGGCAGAAGAGCAATCCTGGATGAATACGAGAGGTGAATCAGCCTGCAACAGCCCTGGCTGCTGCAGTCACAGAGTGTCTGCAGCCTGCTCAAGCCCATGGTGGGTGTCCATAGCAATGCCCCCTGGCAGCACCAAAACCCTCTCCTGCTGCCATAAATTCTTACCTCTCCCCATTTTGTTTTAAAAGCACAAAGATCTAAATTAATCAGATAGGCACAGGTTATGAATAACTCAAGTTCTTCTTGACTTTCAGTCACCCACTACTAATTTCATAACAAATTCTTCATTACCTGAAGTGTTGTGTGCAGTTTTGGAAGCTCAATATAAGATATAAATCTATTAGAGAGCATCCAAAGGAGGATCACAGTGATGGTGAAGGGTCTGGAAGCAAAGCCATATGAGAAGCAGATGAGGTCACTTGGTCTGTTCAGCCTGGAGAAAAGGACACAGCTTCCTCATGAGGAGAAGCAGGGGCAGGCACTGATCTCTTCTCTTTGGTGACCAGTGACAGGACCAAAGGGAATGGCATGAAGCTGAGTCAGGAGAGGTTTAGGTTGGATATTAGGAAACAGTTCTTCACCCAGAGGGTGATTGTGCACTGGAACAGGCTCCCCAGGGGAATGGTTACAGCACCAAACCTGATAGAGTTCAAGAGGCTTTTGGACTTTGCTCTCACGCACATGGTCTGATTCTTGGGGTTGTCCTGTGCAGGGCCAGGAACTGGACTTTATTATCCTTGTGCATCACTTCCCACTCAGGGTATTCTATGATTCTATGAAATCGAGTCAGGTCCCAGAATTCATTATTTGAATAATAAATCTTCCCATTTCCTCAACAGCATGGAGTCTCTCCCGCAGGAGACAGTCTTCCATGAACTTCTCCAACATGAGTCATCCAAGAGCTGCTCCAATGTAGGTCATTTTTCCATGGAGTGAAGTCCTTCAGGCATAGGCTGCTCCAGCATGGGACCCTGACAGGACCGCAGGTCCTACCAGCAAACCTCCTCCAGTGTGGGCTCCTCTCTCCATGGGTCTGCAAGTCTCTGCCAGGTCCCTGCCCCAGCATGGGTTTCCCATGGGTTCACAGCCCTCTTTCAGGCATCCACCTGCTCCAGCATGGGTCTCCTCCACAGGCTGCAGGTGGAACTCTGCATCCCCATGGTCCTCCACGGACTGCAGGGGGACAGCTGCCTCACCATGGTCTGCACCACAGGCTGCAGGGGAATCCCAGCCCCAGCACCTGGAGCACCTCCTCCTCTTCCTTCTACATTGACTCTGATGTTCCTCTCACATATTCTCACTCTGCTTTTCTCTGGCTGCAATTACCTCTGCACAATATTTTTTTTCCTTCTTAAGTAGGTTATCACAGAGGCATTGCTATCATTCCTGACTGGCTCAGCCTTGGCCAGCAGTGGGTCCATCCTGGAGCCATTAGTTCTTCTGGACATGGGGGAAGCTTTTGGCAGCTTCTCGCAAACGTCACCCTTGTAGCCCCTGGTCACCCACAACCCCCCCCCAAAACCTGGCCACACAAATCCACTACACAGGGATGCCTTTGAGCATTAACATGGGAAACGGTGGATAAACAAGAAGTAAACGGATCATACAAATTCCTCTGAACTTCTTGCAACCAGCTGCAGGGTGAGCAGAATTCCCAGAAAACACAAGACTGACTGGGAAAGAGACAGAACTGTTAGTGGGATGTGGAGTGAGTTTTTCAGTTTGTCATTCAGAGAAGCTACTTTCTTTTGTATACTATAAATTAAAAAGAGGACTAAAAAACCCAGCCAATCAGGTCGGCACAGAAGCATCCTGGTGGCAGAATGACACAGCAGCAGGTCACCGGTTCTGTGGCCTCTCAGTGCCTGCCAGCCTCAACAGCCCACCCAACAGCTTTAGCTAAGTATGCAAAATGGACTGAGCTCTGCACTGGATTTTAAGCTTCCCTCCCGATACGTTGACTTCTTCCCTCTCCTCAGCTGCCTGCAGGGATGAGCACAGCATGGTTCAGGTGACATCAGCTCCAGCTACCAGCACAGCTGTATTTCAGAGCTGAAGCCACTGCTTTTGTGCTTGGCCTTGGCACCATAGAAGCTCAGGTATCTCCACCTTCCCGGGTGTCAAGCTTGATGCTCTCCAGTTGGCATCTTGATTGCTTGGGCCTTCACTGACTGAGTTACTGGTGCTGGATCAGCTCTATCGAGCTAGGGCATGTTTGCTGAACCCAGTAAGTTTTCACCACACCTTTCTCTACTCTTCTAGAAAGACTGCTGCTTAAGCCTACGGAAGACAAAGTTGTCAAGGTGATAACTCAGTCATTTAGGAAAGGAAAGAAAAAGGTACGTTGAGCTGTTTGGCTCAGAGTCAGCACTCAGTGCTGTCCTGGGCCGTGAGGACCAGACATCTTTGGCTGGCACAAGATCCCCTCCTGCCTCTAGCTGCCACACACAGAGCCATCTTAGAGATGGTTAGTTATATTGTCCCATTCCAAAAAACTGATTGTTCCCTGTAAGCTAAATACAAGAGAAAGAGTGTTCATTTTCAGATTGAAGTATTGCTTTTTAGCTCTACTGTTTCTACTGCAAGAGTCATGCATAAGCATCACAATCCTTTTTCCAGAAATACAGGCAAAAATCTTAGAGTCATAGAATCATAGAATGGTTTAGGCTCAAAGACCTATAAGGTCATTGAGTCCACTGTAAAACTAACACCACCAAGTGCACCACTGCTACCAGTCCACAAAGCAGAACTCTGGCCTTCAGCTGTTTTACAAGATTTTGTGCCTTTCCTAAGTGATTTATCAAATTTTGTTCAACTCAAACTCCCCATTGCACTAAATTCCCCTTTGGTGCGATGCTACAGTCTCTTCTGCACTACCCTGTACTTAGCAGAGACATTTCACTCTACATGAGCATAGACCAATTTCCCTCAGTTTCCACTTTTTAAAAATCTGTTCTGCTCCAGAAAAGCATCAGTGCACAGTAACTTGGCTATATTTAAAGCAGGCAAGTTCCTCTTTTGCTCTGAAACTATTGTTTTGCTCACACTGAGTCTGGGAAGTCCAGCAAGCTTATTTTTTCCTGGCAACCTGCTTTCTAGCCAAGTGCCCCAGTTTTAGTGATCTCTGGTCAGTCTCACTTTCATTCAGGGAAGGCAGCACAAGATCAGCCAGTGCAGCAACCCACCTCTCTCCATCATGGCCTGTGGTTTTCACAGCACTTTGCCTTTGTCAGCTGCAAAGCATCCGGTGCTGCAGAGACGATGTGCGTGGAGGTGAGTGACAGACACCAGTCCCTCTTGATATACAGGAGCTGGACACATCTGAGGTGACTACCCGCCTGCTAACATTCCAACGTTTCCAGTTCCCAAGGGATTTATCTCAGGGGAATTTGAAGGTCTTTATCAGAGAAATAAGGCAGGTGTCTTGATATATGCTTAGGGACATCAGCCACAGTCCCTCCTCCTCATCCTCACACCTGCACATCTGTGCACCCTCACACTCTCTCCCACCACTGATGGAGACTTTGGGAGCCCATGAAACCAGCACTGGTTTGATCAAACCAGCCCATCATCCCTCAGAGAACTTGAAGGATGATAAAGTTTCACAGGGGTATTTAAGAGGTATGAGAGCCAGATAGAGGATTTTTGTCTCTTGTGCTGTGCTCTTCATACAGGAACTTGTACACAGTAGTGGGATGATGATGTCTCTATTTGCTGTTTGGTCAGTATGCAATACCACAAGAAATTAATAAGAAAATACCAGGGTTTTTCCAGAGGTAGAAGAAAAACTGACCCAATAAGATTTTTCTTTTTTTTAATCTTTTCTTCTGTTGTCTTTTCTATTCCAACTGGGAGACAACAGAAAAAAGTCAAGGTTTTTGATTCAGGGAAGAAGCGCAGTGGAAAAGCAGCCTTAAGCAGCACACATTTGGGGCCAATAACAAATTCCTCGTTGAATTAAATCTACAAATCCCTGAGCACTCAGAGCTGTACAACAGGATCCCCATCAGGATAGTGTCTCTTCAGCTCCCTGTGAGAGCCACTTCATGCCCTGAAGCATATGGAGAGTTGCTTACTCACTGTTTTATTTGAATGGTAAAACATAGGCACTGTTGTCCTTTATAGTGACAGCTAAATAACTTTTATCTGTCTGAACTGCACATAGCAGCAGTTAGTTCCACAGGTTTTTCTTTGCTTATCAGTACTGAAAGCATCAGCTTTTCTAAGGCAGTATTTTCCCATTTTTGTAGTGACCGATACTATTTATTTCAGTTTTTCTAGGCTGGACCTGAGTCCCTGTGCTATCACAAGTATTATCACAGCAGGTACTGGGGTGGCTTTCTGCCCCCCCGGCCACAGCTCAGCACTGACTTGTCACTCTCTGCTGGTCCTGTCCCTGGGTGCTGTCCAGCTGGCACAGAACTCCAGCTGGGACCTAGCATGCCAGAGGGAGCAGGACAGTAGAGGAGCTGCACTCCCCACCCAGATGGGGAATTTTGTGGTGACAGTCCCTCTAGACTTCCTCCACCATGCTGCTGCCAGCATCCCTCTGCCACTGCCTAACAGGCTGCAGTGCCTGGAGCAGTGTCAGGTCATGTTGCCTCACAGAGACTCCCTGAACAGCATCCAGTTACAGGATTTGTGCTTAAAGGAAAGGAAAAAAGTGTTCATATCCAGCTTGTGGTTTGCAACAAATACTACTAATTAGCCCTCTCCTCTGAAGCTGCTGAGTGCTGACACTGCCCACCTGCATCTCCTAAGCCAGAGACAGGCAGAGACATGGTTTAGCCTGAAATAGAGTTGCATGTCGACAGAACGACCTGAGCCCCATGCTCAGACTATTCCCCAGGGCCCACAGAGATGCACCTCAGCAAACCCCGACAGGCCACGTGCTCCCACCCACAGGGTGCACATCTGCACTCTCCCTTACATGTCACGGGCTCCATGCTCCAGGGCATTTCCCTCTGAACACACAACTGCTGCCCCTGCTTGCTCTGCTCCACTAGCAGAATTGCTTTGTATCAACTGAAGTGCTTGTGCTGCCCAGCTGTGCCACACATGCTTTTACTTACCCACAAGCAGAACGTCTGCAAGGTGACTGGCAAGGGTATTGCCAAAGCTGCAGCTCCCACGTAGTCCCAGGGTCCCAACCTTTCTAGGCTGGGTCTGGCCGAGGAGGTGGCTGGTGCTGCACTGGCTGTGCTCACACTCCCCATTGCAGCGTGGCAGCCGGGACCAGGGCAGCGCTCTGAGCACTCCCAGCATTTGGAGCAGTAAGGCAGCCTGTTTCAGGATGGTGCTTCCCAGATTCTGGTTGACTTCTGTGTAATCACCAGACAAAGGCGGGTCAGGCACATTTAATGAATTTCCCTGGTAGCCACAGAGTAGACTTCTCTGTGTAATAAATTGATTTATTTTCACTTAAACTGAAAATCCTTCATGGACATTTTAAGACTTAGCATTCCTGCTGTCTTCTCACTGCAGTGTGTAAATGTAGTTCATATCCAACATCTTCCAGACCTGCTTTTTTTTACCTCCTCTCTGTAAGGTTTACTTAAGACTTCTCTTGTAGTAAGTTTTGTTACAAGACTCATGATATTTGGAATTTAAAACTACTTTGTAGGAATGCTTTTTTAAGGATTAATAATTCATCCAAAAGAGTAAACATTTTTTGTATGTGATAACTTTGATAAGAAAGTACTGCAAATGAAACACACTTCAAATTAGTACAAGAGAGTTTCAAGGTATTCATTTTAAAAACACACTCCACAAAACCCCCGGGCTGTCCATTGCAAGCTTGTGCTGAGGCTTCCTAGGGTTTTGGCTGCTGCATTTTAAATAATTCAAAACTCTGTTTGTGTTTATTTGGGGGTTGTGCTAGTTGGGTTTTATTTTCCTATTTATATTCACAGTACATAGCTCTTTCAGCTTCACTGTATATCTTCCACAGATTACAGCAAATAAAAGCCATAGCCATGAAGGTTTAGGACTGAGGAAGCTTTCTGAAAAAGTACCTGTCACAACAGAAATACTCAACTTCAGCTTCAGTGTGCTGCCTTCCCTCCAGGATTCAGCCTTCTCTGAGTTGAAGTTTCTTCTCTCCTTGTACTTAACAAGGTATGGAAGGAGCATCTTCAGTTCTGCTCATCACATTGGTGAAACCCCCTGCCCCTGCCAGAGACAGAGACCTCTGGAGCACACCACAGCAGCATCTCCCTGCCTTCACAGGGACACCTTCAGACAGCTTCAGATAGCTGGTGAGTTTTTATGCTGAGCAGAGATTGATCCACTTGGGCAATATCTAGGCTTCTCCACTGATGACAATCATTTGCAGAACAGTGGGTGAAATAGGCATTTTCCAGATATTGCTGCTTCTAAGACAGTAGTGACAGCAAAGTCACTGCAGCAGGTTTTTATTCATTTTTCTATATTCTTCCCTAAAATCTGGAGAAAGACATGTTTGGTCCTTGGAAATTTTCATTTTATAAAGTTGGACACTAAAAACCTCCTGTCTCCCTGCCTCCCACAAATGCCTCCTCACACTCACCATTTCAGGGCAGGTTTTTCTTCTCAGCAGAACCCTGTAATTAAATGTGAACTTAAAAGTACCAGATAAACATCATTGAAAAAGACACTTTTATTGTGGTGAAGGCAACTGATCATGAGCTTTTACAGACATGAGGTTCAGTTTGGGTAATCACATATACCGGAGGAGTTTTGCGAGACAGGCCACTGATGCTGCTTTCTATTGTTTTCTCAAGGTGTCAGATCAACTGGGTTATGATGGCACCTTTCACAGCAACAGGCAGCTGAAGACAATTGTGCTGACAGGAAACCTGCTCATGTTTCTGTCTCAGTGTTTGCTGGCCCGCCTTCCCTGGAGAAGCTTAACACAGACAGGAATAACCAGTATGTCTTTCATTCCAATGACAAATCTGGACGGTTTAGATACCCTCATCTTGGGCAGCAACCACATCTCTTCACTGCAGCTTCTTCCCAGCTTTCCCACTCAAAACCTCAAATACCTTGACTTTCAAACAAACAACACAGGAGCAATCACAGCAGAAGATGTGCATGTTCTGCAGAATATCAGCAATATAACTCTCATCTTTAAAGGCAATGACATTACATACATTGAACCTGGAGCCTTCCAGTCCCATTTGAACTTCAGGGGCTGTGCTGACATCTCTGGGGTCCTGGCAGGGATATAGAATTCCACAGCCGAGACCCTTTGGCTGGGAACATTTTGTGGTGTGGAAAAGGAGCCCAGATGTTTTACAAGGCCTCTGTAATATTTCTGTCAAGGATCTCTATCAGCAGTTAGGCATTTCGGAAATCTAAGTGCTGGCACATTTCAGTGCTTAACCAAGCTCCGAAAACTGGGCCTAACATTGCCACTGCATAATCAATTTAAGTTACCCCTCTGGACTGCACCTGCTCCAGTATTGGTTTAATCCCCTGGTACAAGCCAAATCTGAATAAAATTGAGGACCCTGAAGGAACAAGGTGCTCTGAACTCCAATCACTAGCTGGGAGTCAGCTGGCCACCGTCTTGCTCTCCTGTGGGATGAACACAGCAGAAATCATTGCAGTTGTCCTGGCTGTTTTCTCCTGTGGTACCATGTTCATTCAGGGTGCTTTGTATTTCCAGCAAAATTAGCAGCGAATATATGTTTATTACGGAGATGTAGAAAAATATCTATAGCAATTGTATTATGTTGAAAGATATCTTACTGCTTTTGTTTGTGACTTTTTTTTTCTTAACTTTTGCAATACCCTTTGTATTATAACTTTTAGAAAAATAATGAAAAAAATAGAACTGAAAAAATAAACTATGACCTGAGCCTTGAATATAAATAACTTATCTTATAGAGAAATCTCTGTCCAACTCAAGGTTAGCCCTGGTGTATCAGCTAGTGTGGCTAATGCACTTGTAAAGGTAAGATCCAAGGGCAAATCTCTTTAAAAAAAGAAAACTCTACCACCATCACTCTCAAAACCAAACAAACGAACAAAAACCACCAAAAAAGAACCAATTAAAAACCAAATCTCACCCTCTGTCAAATATCCTTGAAAAGCAATGTTGTATAAGAGCTGGTGGCAGTAGTGTACCCCACTCTGCTAAAAAGTAAAAAAACTACCTGTGAAAAACAGGCACAACCTCATAGTCATGTAAGACATATTCCTGCAGGACTGTCAGAAACAGCCTGTATCACTTCTATGATTTCTTTAAAATATTTCTTTAAAATATTCATGATCCTTAGAAAATTCCTGACCATTGGACCTTGTCTGTGCATCTCCCACCCTGAGGCAGGCTATGCTCCTGTGCTATTTTCTAGACTCCACAATAAGTAGAGACTGGCAACCATTTCATCTTTAACCATAAAATTTGTAGATTTGGTCAAGATCTGTTGGCACTACGTTTGCTTGCACAGGGCAAAAAACCCCAATGCCAATAGCTATGAGACATTCCTGTGCCAGCCTGGAGTAGACTGTTCTTTCCAGCTGCAGCCCAGGAGAGAAAACTAGAGGCTGCAGAGGGGGCAGTGCAGTGGACATCATCATCCCACAGGTGCACCTCGTGGCAACAGCTACTTCACAGGGCTTCTGGTGGGCATCCCTGGAGTAAAATTAGAGTCTTTCTGCTTCAATGGGATATGCAACAGCTAGGCAGGAATAAAGCCTTGTTATTATTTACATAAAACCAAATCACTTTCTCTGCCATCACATCTGAATAAACCCAGTAGCAAGACAGAGTGTGTGCATCTGATCAAGGATCTAATGGAAGCTTGCTGCGCCTGTTTGTCTGCCCTGTGTTACCATAAGGTGATTTATGTCACCAGTGCTTTAATAACAGCCTAATACAAATGTGTAGCCACAACCTTCTTGGGGGGGTATGACCCTTCCGTCTCCATTGCAGAGCACGCACCACATGGAGTCTTGCCTGTCCGAGCATGGCTCCCTGATGTGTTATGCCAGGAGATGTAGTTGCTTTCTCTCAGGACTTTCCATGCCAAACTCCACATTCACCTTCAGCTCCAGCCCAAAGGCATTTCCTCAACGTTGTCCTCTGTAACATGCTGACTAGCTAAAGTTTCTAAGATTCCTGCTGGATTAGAAAGTTTTTGCTCATTTCTGATGATACTGCTGACAAGAGTCCCAGCTTGGTCTTCTCTGGTAAGAACTACCTCTCATGAAAAGCCCCTTTTACTGTCTATTAGCAGATCAGATGCATACAATGTGTACTCTTGCGGCTTTCAGATGCCTTCACATCACTGCCACTGCCTTACCCTGCAGCTTCTCCTCCTCCCCTTTGTAGCCACATGTGCCTCCTTTTTCAGTTGCCTACAAACACACCCAAATTTGGGGTACCAAAGCGTTGCCTCTCCTCACAGCTCTCTGTATTGCTGGTTCATATTCCCTGTTCTTGTGGCCACTGACCCTCCCTGCACTGAAGCCCCCTCCTGACCCCATCAGCAGGCACTGCACTCCAGCTGCCCAACACCAAAGCCACATGAGCTGCCAACTCCAGGCAAGCCCTTCTGTTCACAAGGGCTGTTCAAGGGAGAGAACTGTTCCTGAGCACATCATGCTGCCCAAGGGGAGCACACCCTAACTTGTCCTTGGGAGCAAGGCAGGGATATTTCTGAACTGAGCCCAGGGTTCAAGGTGCATTTTCCCCTCCCTCTGCAAATCCAACTGCTTAATTGGGCAATCTCTGCTATCTAATAATCCAGCATGATTGCCAGTGTGTGTACCATCCAAGAAAGACCTGCTTCTTCCATTGTTTCCCTCTCAAAGTCATGGATTCAGGGAAGTGTTAGACAAATAGTGATGTTAAAAAGGGAGTGTAACACTCCATAGGCATAAAAAAAATTCCTGCAAGTACCAGGTAGCAACTGTGTGAGATTCACAAATATTAGTGACTGGAGAGGGAAACTGCATGTTGGGTTGAAAGGTATTCTGAAAGGTCTTTTTGTTTGGAGAGACCACCACAGGATTTAACCACCACCAGTTTCTGAAATGCCTCCTAATGCAGTGTAAATCCATGTGTAGACTTCACTTGGTGAAAACTCAAAGACGGCTGAGAAGGCGAAATGTGTTCCCGTGCAGTATCTGTTTGCACACAGAGTATTAAGACTTCCCTGAAATCCACCCCCTTCTCTATGCCCAACTTGTTTTAGATTACTGTATGTAATTTTGTATTACTGTGTTGTATTTTTTGTCTTTACAGTGTCATCTCTCCTCTATTTGCCTGCAAAAAAGCCATTCATAAGACATTGTGCAAACAACAATGCTGAACGGCACATGCTATGTGTTTCAGGATGCACAAGTCCTAAATACAGGGATTGATTATTCTGAAGGAAAAATTATCTATGGATATAATACACTAAAATGTCTAGATTATATGTTAAGACTTTTAAGTCCAAAGATTTAGTCTTCTGGGATTACTTAATAAGGATATAAATGGAAAGAGACAACAGATTTTTTTTTCCTTAAAGAACTGCTTACCAAATCAAGCTCTGATGTGATGCACTCTTTGAAAAAATAAGAGAGAAAAGGCCTGACTTAAAACCAAACACAGCTATGGAGCCAGCACAGAGAGAACAAGGGAATTGCTCAATGTGAATAGTGTTTAACAAGACTTCACTTACCACCTTGCTGGCTCCTGGGCTACAGATGTCTCTGAAGTCATGGTACAACTCGACACCGCAACATGGAATTTATCAGTATTTACACAGAGAAGGAACTTGAGCATGTATTCATAAGTCACATTTCAGAGACTGGTAAGCTCTTACCTTTATTTCAATAGGACAAACCAAAACTCAGAGCCAAGTTCTTCCTTCCCTAACTGTGCTTAAACAAGGCGCTCTCAGTAAAATGCAAGTCAATTTTTGAAAGAGGATTTTACTCTGTTTTGAATGGGCCAATTTCTACATATGTTGACTTAAAAAAACACACCCTGATGTCAATGGTACATCTTTTAAGAACTTTCTCTCATTCACTAGTCTTGTCTGTAGCTGGAAAAAGAGCAGTCAAGATCCCTTCCCAAACACTCTACACCATACCTCCCTCATCTGACAAAACTGATGGAAATTCTTCTCTCCCAGCAGAAGATGACATTCTTCTCCACTGAATCCCTTGGACATCCTCTTCCTCCTGTACATAATTCACACCTGCATTTGGTAGGGTTTGCCATGTACCAGAACACAACAACTGCATTGTTACTGTCTGCTTATTCTGCAGCCTTCTCCACTCTTCCTGATGCTCCCAACTTTCTGCAGCTTGAACCATAGTTTTAGCATCACTTCCTGCCCATGGCAGGGCAGTTGGAAGTAGATGATCTTGATGATCTTTAACATCCCTTCCAGCCCAAACCATTCTGTGATTTCTACCCTCAGTTCATTCAAATGCATTCTTGGCAGCTATCTGGGAGATCGAGCTGGTCAGTTCTCATCAACTACTACACTATACAGTCAGTGGAAAGAAAAACTGTTGCTAACCCAAGGCAGGAAGTGGGACATGCATCCATACATGCTCCAGTATCTTCCTGTCCTGTGATCTAATCTTTCTTAGCTACGACCTGAGCTTTGATCCAAATCCAAGCTAGACATCCCTGCTAAGCCTTACAGACTGTGTAAGACTACAGTAAGCCTAAGGGGGCTTAGCAAACGGGGAGTTCAGTGCTGAGGAAGGGAGCTCACGTTTCCCTGGCAGACCATGAAAGCGTTCCCATCTCCAATAAGGTGCCGTCTTTTCTTACCACAGTCGAAGTGAGGATGACAGGCTGTGCCACATACAATACTGATAACCTGCCTCTCCTGACTTAATTAATGCAAACTCCATATACCACCCCTTTCCTCTGGCCCTGAACACTATGGAGGCTCACAGAGCATGCAGGGTTCTGTGCCTCCCCAGGCAGAGGTGATGGCTGCTGTGTACAGCCAGGGAGGCATGAAACTCAAGTCAATCCTCAACTCTTGTAATTTCCTTTCCCTCAGCTGCTGGATCCTGCTCTTCCTTCCTCAACCCATCACCCATCAGTGCACCAGTTTTGCAAGACTATCTGCCAGTGGCCTGGAGCAAATTGGAAAAGTGGGAGTGATCTGCAGCTTTCCCATACCTATTTGTTTCAAACAGGGAGTGAAGCTGCAAAAGTGATGCTGTAACACTGCTCCACTTAGTTTTGTACAGGGGAAAAACACAGAGAAAACAATGTAATAATAAGATGTGAACACAAATTCCCACATGCTGGGCAGCTATGCAGAGTTACCAGCAGCAGAACAGTAAAGAGATGTGTATTTTAATTGATACTGCTCCTATAGTAATGACAATGTATGTTCTGGAGGAAGGATTTATATGTCACATTACAACCTACTGCCCTTGTTACCTACTAAAGACATGTTGTCCATCATCACACCATACCTACCAATCCAACAGCCAAGCAGTGGTTCCAGCCTGAGACCAGACACTCAGCAATGCAGACCTCCTCTGTTCCCAGACCAAACTGCATTTCCTCGTGCAATACCCTCTGCCAGCACGTACCTTAAGGGGTGCACTGAGTTGGCCCCAAAGAAAAAAAAACTGCCCGCCTCTGAGTAGAGCAGAGATGTGCCTTAAGTTACAGCAGTGAGAGCAGTTCAAGGAAAAATGCTAACACAACAGTGTTTCATGCTGAATTTTTATTTCAATGTTATGCAACTGCATAAGTATAAATAATCGTGTTCAATATATAACAATTATGACATCCATAAAGAGTTTTTTAGAGAAAATAAGACTGCAAACACTTTATTGCACAGACCCTAACAATTTTTTCCTTTTTTTTTTCTTTTCTTTTCTTTTTTTTTTTTTTTTTGGTAAGCTGAGAACTCTACTGCAGGAAGTCTACAAAAGAACACATCAGATCTACAATCACACTAAGACTGACCAAGAAGAACACAGGCAGGAGGATCTCTTAACAGTTCACTGGCAAAGTAAACATCAACAAACAGGTACTACATAAACACAAGCTTATGCACTGTTACACTTCCAAAATGCAAAGAACTTATTTGTCAGAAGTGATAATGAACTATACAAAATATACATAAAGGTATACTGTAAACAAAAGCTAGATGTGCTTTAAAGGAAACAAGAGGATTGTTAAAAAATGCAGAGACTGTAAACTAGGAAATACCTTCCAGACAGAAATGTTATTTTGAAGTGCATTAGCATTCATTTGTAGTAACTGCCAAAGCACAGATGAACTGTAAATGTTGAGACCATTTTCTCTTTAAACTTCTCAAAAATTATTATCCATTGCTCACCAGCTCCTCTGTGAATGCATCAAAGGCAGTATGAATGTTCTAGTGCCACATGAAAGATCAGAAGTTGTTTGTGATATTGGCTTTTCCTGACAGTTTTGCTGTAAGCCAACTCAATTCGTCAGTACAATGAAGTTTTCAGCAGAGGGAAATGAATTCTGCACACTGTCTATTGTCACACAAGTCTCCAAGTCAAGATTACACTGTGCTTTTATGAACAATTTTCTAGCTTTTGAGACAGAAAGACAAACTGTAAGCATTGGTGTAAAAGTAGGGGCCTAACTCTACTGTGGTTACAGAAAACAGAAATAAGCAAAACAACCATTCTATTGATCCCCAATTATTAAAACCCATGCTACTGCAAGGGCATTTTGTAGTGCTTCTGTACATGTTTCAAACTTTACCTTTCAGCTCTCAAAACAAACCAAATACCTCCACACTAACAAAGTCTACATGTTCCACAGTATACAAAATTTAAATAAGGCTTAGCAAAAGTAAAAAGACAGTAACATTCTAGCACCAAATAGCTCCAATGGGTTCCTGTTACAAAATGCTTCTTTTGAAATTACAGTATTTAACTTTTTTGCATACAAATAAAAAGATTATGTTATGAAATGTATGGAGCTACTTAATGCATTTAGAAATGAATGTGAAACCCAGAGTTACTTGCTAAAAACAGCAAGTTAAGTCTACAACATAAGGCCCCAGCTATGTATTAAAATGTATCAGATATCCTAAATTTTTTTGAAGATATGATACTGAAACTACTGAAACTGCTTTTTTTCCTTTTTACCTTGTCATAAAATAGAAAAGAGCTATAGCATTATGACACTAACTATGCAGACCTATATGCCATAATATATATTTTCTAAATGTATTAAAAACAGGGATGAACATACTAGTACTACCAGTCATGTGCTTATTACTTGTGCCTCACACTGTAAGGGCCTGAATTTAAAAAAGCTCAAGGAACTTGAGAGGATTGCAGCAAAAACTGAGCACGTGGCATGTGCTTCAGAGAGTTAGAGCCTTGTCTGAGGTGAAGGTCACAGAACACACTCCTAATAGACAAGAACCACCATTTCACCACAGAACACAAGTCTTGCTGGGATGCCCTGATAATTAAGTGGTCTTCCCATAGCTTTAAGGACACCTACTCTAATCAGGCTTTGTGCAGTAGGGAGATGCAGTTATGTCTTGTGTTACATCTGGTGAAGCAGTCAGCCAGGTACAGTACTATCAAAATCAAATTATTAAAAATACATGTAAAAACTCACAATAGGTCACCATGTTTATTCTGTACTAGTATTTTTTTTAACTTCTATCTAGGATTTTTAGTCAGTAAAAATGTGGTCTGGTTTTCTTTTTCTCCAGTCAGACCAATACTTGAGCATGTCCATGCCAGGTCTGAGTTTTAATAATTTGGTTTCATATTTCAGTATGGCAAATAAGTGGCTAAGCAACTATCTTAAAAAGGGAAAGAGGAAACAACGCAACCAGCAGCGAAGTATATATGCTACATTCAACCCCCAAACACATCGCTAAGTATTTACAGAGGAAATATTTTCTTCAACAGCTCTTGGCTGTAAAGGTATTTTTGTACAAATACTATATGGTAACAGTTTTACCGGTTTCAATTGGAAAGGCATTTTGAAAAAAGTCCTCTCTTTACATATCCCCTTGTTTTGTTTCTTCAGTGACATGAAAACTTTGCAGCACAAACACACGACACAGTGCTGGTTTAAAGGCAGTACGACATATTGAAATTGTTTCAGCTAGTGTTGAATTCACACTTGCCGGGTCTTACAGTTAACAGGATTTTTTGTGAGCATTGCTCCGCGAAGCTTCCTTTCCTCGACGCTGCCGAGCTGAGTCTTTGTCGTCTGAAAGTGCACTAGGGCGGTCAGGTGTGGCTGCTGACCTGGATAAATCTTTACCTACATTCTGTTTTCTTGAAGCAGACTGCTGAGCCAGAATGGTGTCTTTTCCCTTTACATCCACAGTGTTAACAAAAAGAGGCTTTTCTTGACTTCCAGGTTTCCCCACAAGGTTTGAAGTAGGGCGGTGGGCTTCTGCTACAACAGTGGCACTGTGCAAGGCCATCAATGAAACACTTTTAGCCATTTCTGCCTTACTGTTCCCTGTGGAAGAGGTGCTTTTCTTATTTAGTTCTTTGCAAGTTGCAGGAAGCTCAGGTGAGCCTGCTTTAACCTTTGCTGAAATTGCATCACTCTTGGTTGAAGACAAAACAGATACTTCTTGCCTACACTCAGAGAAATTGGATGAACAAGTCACCAGCTTTCCTGGTATTGTAGACACACGATAAGAACTCTGCCCGCTGGCAGCAGACAAATGTTTTATTGCAGTCTGCTTGTTTGCATCCTCTGGCTGTTTCTGATTAACTTGTCCCTTCCCTTTTATATCTTGAGAGCTTTTGCTACTTGTGGTCACTTTTTCTGCTCCTTTCCCTCTGGCATCACAGTTTGAAAGACAAAGGGTGGGCTCTAATTTCCCACTGTCAAGCTGAACGTAAAGTGCGTCAGTGCATATTTTTCCTTCAGGTCTTTTGTCTGCAGAGATAATTTCATTACTGGGATTTCTGTCTGCCTCTTTGTTCCACAAGAGACAGTCTTTCACAGTGGAAAATTTTGGAGATGTGGTTTGTTTTTCACTGAAATGAAGTTGCTTTTGATCAGCAGATTCCCCCAAGCCTGCTGGTTCTTGCCTTTGCTTAGAACTCTCTAGGCCTGCTGGTAATGGGCCCACAGCAGAGGATTTGGGTTTGGTGTCAGGGGCGGTGCTGCTCATTTGGAGGGTGGTGACTGAACCATGACCC